CTGGGCGTGCGTAGGCCAAGCCCTGGAGGAGCCTGCGACCCAAACAAACCCTGGGCTTTGTGAGTGGACCCTGAAGGTAGCGAGTTCACACCAATTGCTACTTGCTACCATAGGTCGTCGCCGGCGACAATCGAGTGTCACCAACCAGTTCATCCAGTCGTCCTTTCAACTGCCTCACTCTGCCTCCATACAGACAAGTGAGAGTAAGATTAGTCTAATCTGATTTATAATTAAGGAAATTGATAAACAAAAATAACCAAAACTTTCAATCGTTACAACTTTTTCGATTCAAATCGAAATTTAACATATAATATATTGTTGGAAAGCTAATTTTGGAGTAGAATCCGAATATACAAAGTCCATATCAAATCGAGCAATAATACGATGAATATGACCAGTCAAAGTTATGGGTTTTTGTAGTTTCCCTCAAATTTTCTCTAAGGAAATTGTCTCGTTCACTTCGCTAATTCGAGTTTAGAATTTGAGTTGAGATGTGATTTTATGTGAGAGCTTTTTACTATAGTAAAAAAGTTAGATGTGATTTTGTAAAGACACCCCATAATTAGCAAAATGACTGAAAATGACATTTTAAATGAAAATTCTCAAATTCTATTCCCTGTTTTAATACCTCATACTTTTCAACTTCCGTTCTCTCTGTTTCAAAACCCTCCCTCTTACTCCCTCAAACTAGTATCCCATGTTTGTTTCTTTTTTCCTTTCTTTTTTCGTTTTCCTTCACTCTCTCCTCAAGTAATTACATCCCTTTTTTTTTTTTTAAGTTATTACATCCTAATCATTTTATTTCCAATTTTTTCCATGTCGTTGTAATCGAAATAATTTTATCACTGTCAAAATGAGTTTGCCGCAAAATATACAAATATATGTGTATGTATATATATATATATATATATATATATATTTAAAACATCTTGTGTTATATATTTAAGTTTTCTATTTTCTTTTTGAAACAAAAACTGCTGTGACTGTGACGTTTGTGGATTTAGAAGTGCATATAAGGAGACGTTTGGTTCATAGATTCAGAATCATTCTCGTTTTACGTGTATTTTTTGTGAGAGAAAATATTATAGCGAATCACGAACTATGATTCGAATCATGGGCCGAATCCTCCTTCTAAACATCTCTTTTTTGAATTTATTTTGGAGTGCAAAGGTAAAATAGTAATAAAAGGATTAAATTTTTTAAATGGGGTGCCTTAGTAAGAAGATGGGGGCGTCAATAAAATTTCCCTTTCTCTAAAATCATGCATCAAAAAACATGAAATTTTGACAAAGGATAAACACCAAAGAATCCATCACCTATCCAAAATTACATTCAAGTAGTGAGCAGAAAAATAGAAACAAAATCATATGAAAATAGCAACAACAAAAAAAGAGAGATTTGATTTTTGAGATTTCAATCATATGAAATTGAAAGTCTTTTTATCAGTTGTATCGTTGGGCCGTTATTGATTCAAGCCGCAAATATTTATATTCCTTGAAATGCATTGACACGATAAGCCTTGATTTTTTATGTATTGAACAAATAACCAAAATCTCCAGCATCTCGTCGTGTAAAGCATAACTTTGTTGCCGGCTTTATGAATTGAGAAATAATTTTGGCCCTGTTCATTTTATTAATTTGAGTTTAGAATTCAAATTTTGTTATAGTAAAAAATTTTCATAAATAAGCACATATAATTTTTTTACTATAGTAAAAATTATCATATAAAGTCACATCTCAACTCGAAGTAACGAACTGAGCGGGCCCTTAGAAGTTTAATATGTGATTCTATTTTACACTCGAATGCCTAATATTAATTTAAATTTAAAAAATAATTTTTTCTCATAAACTTTAAGCTTTCATTTGTATAAAAGTACGCTCAATTTTAAAATAATTTAAAAATGACACTATTGTAATCAATGAGTGAAAAATTAAGGCATTAACCAATAACAATCAAATGTTAAATTTTAACAATTTTATACTTAGTGCTAAATTCGACACCAAATATAGTATATACCAAATTTAATATTGAAAGTAAGGACAAATTTTATAAATTTCTTTAAGGACAAATTTTATAAATTTCTTTTAAACTTCGTCACTTTTATCAACATGCATCCTGAACTTTAAAATGTGCACATTGTGCTTTCTAAACTTTATCACTTGTGTCAACATGCCCCATGAATCTAACTTTGTTAAGTTTTTTAACGGAAATACTTATAAATGCCCCATGAACTTTGTCACTTGTGTAATATGCCTCATAAACTTTAAAATGTACATATTGTGCCCCCGAATTATGATATGTCTCCAACTTTTCCTTCTTCATCTTGATTCTATCAATTTTTTAAATGAAAACGTTGATATGACTATTAAATTACTAATTATCTATGATATTTGAGGTTTATTGAATGTCTTCCCCTCTAAAATGTTAGTTAGGCACTAATTCTCAAAACATTAGTTGATTAGAGGAATTCAAGATGGAAAAAGTTGAGGAGTAGATTTGTGTAATATAATGGATTTTATTAGTGTTTTTCTTTAATATTTAACCTAGACAAAAGTGTTCGGCATAAAATATAGTTATGCTTTATACATATATAACATTTCTAAATCTAAATACATTCAGGCCATTTATTTTATTTTAATCTTTTTTAAAAATAATTCAACACAAACATTAACAAACCTATTAACCTAACAAACCTTAAGAAAAATCTTCAAAAAAAAAAAAACGTAATATAAAATTTAAAGAAAAATCTGTCATCCATTAAAAACAGAAAAAGGGCTAAAAAAAATTAACAAACTTATTACATTATACATATTTGCTCCTCGCTTTTCTCTCTTTATTTCCTCTAATCAACTAATGTTTTGAGAATTTGTGCCTAATTAATATTTTTAGAGGGGAATGCATTTAACAAACCTCAAATATCATAGCTAATTAGTAATTTAATGGCCATATCAATATTTCAGTGTAAAAAACTAATAGAATCAAGTGGGAGGGGAAAAAGTTAGAGACATATCGTAGTTCGAGGGCACAATGAGTACATTTTAAAATTTATGAGGTATATTGACACAAGAGACAAAGTTCATGAGTCTTTATAAGTATTCTGTTAAAAAACTTGACAGAGTTAGACTCAGGAAGCATGTTAATATAAATGATAAAGTTTCAGGAGCACAATATGTACATTTTAACATTCAAGAGACATGTTACATAAGTGATAAAGTTTATAAAATTTGTCCTAAAAATAATATATGAGAGAGTGACTTTCCTATAGAAATGTTAAAACTTGGCATTCGGACATTAACTTGGCATTCGACAATGACACTACTCTAATCTAAAACCACGGTTTGCCAGTGTTAAAAAATAAAAGGAAAAAAAAAAAAAAAAAAAAAACGAGAGAAGAAGAAGAAGAAGGAGATGATCATGATGTGATGATGATGGAACAATAATTTTCATGTTGTCTTTAATCAGTAAATTTTAAACTTTTTTTTTTTTTTCTCGCTGAGTAAACTTTAAACAATTTGATAAGATGACAAGACTACTAAATGAAGAAATGGGGAAAGAAAAATCAACTTGATCTCTGGCAAAAATTAATATGATCATCAGTAGTATGTCATAGTACAGAATCGTTAATAACTTTCCATCATAATTAATTTTTTTAAATTGTCCTTCAATTTTTGTAAAGGATGGTTCTATTTATACTTTTTTTTTTCTCTTTACACATTTTTTAAATACACACCTTACTTAATTTTTAAAGAATTAGAGTTACTTTTTATATATTCCTATTATTTCAAGATTGCCCTTAACTATTTTCGTAAGATTATTAACTCTAACATTCTATTTTTCTTTCCAAATCTATCATTTTATTTTAATTTGTCATTTTAAACACTATCATTTCTTTATCTCTCTATTTTTTTTTTTGAAGTTTTGGGTATGAAAACTTTTTTCATACATAAAGAAATTTACTATTATATTTTTTAAAAAATAAATAAAAGTCATAAGTATAAGCATGACAACAACATAATTGTTATATCTTTTCAGTGAAAAAACCATAATTGTTACATCAAATGAGGTATTGACTAAAAAAGACAAAATAGGGGGAAAAAGCAAATTCTTAATAGTATAAACAAAAAAAAAGGATGAGAGAAAATGAAACATAAAAAAAAAAAAAAAAAATCCAACGTTATAAAAACAAAAAACCAAAATGAAGTGATCTTCATTTAAAAATTATTAATAAGATAAAAGGACATAAATTTTGAGATGTAATATGTGCAGTGTGTTGAAAGAAAAAATATATATGTAATTAGTTTTCTTTTTTAATAAAATTTAATTAAGTAATTCAGTCATCATAATTGTCTTTTTTTTTTTTTTGTCATTTGTCGTGAGGGTTTTTTTATCATAAGGAATCTTAATTTAAAGGGGGGGTTTGAAGAGTAAAAAAAGTTGTGAATAAAACCATTTTTAGTAAATCAATGCACAAATTTGAATTCACATGTTGGGAACGACCTAATTGTTGCCTTTTGAAAATATAGAGCATTCATATGCCATTGGCTTAAATTATTTCCCTGCTGCACTCTTCGTCATTGCAATAATTCAGTTAGTGGTTTGGTACACTTCTTGCAAAACTGAACTAGTATAATTCTACTTAAAAAGAGTATGAAACATATCCTACCAACATCTATTTTGAACTGTTAAATCACTTTATTTTGAACCGTTAAATTTGTAGTAAATTTTATCAATTTTGCACATCTTTTCATTTCAATGCAATTTAAACCAAATCCAGCGCTTATAAAAATGCACTACCTGTAGGAATATCGTTTTTACTATATATATTTGAGATAAGAAACTAATACTCATATTTGTAATTTGCCTGTTGTGTTTATTAGTATTATGATAACTCGAGGTTAGCTATCCTCTCAGAAGCTAAAACGTCTGCCTAGTATGCTTGTCAATAGCCATCCTCTTGAAAGGTGAAAACTGAAAAGCTGAAAATGAAATGACAAGAGTATCAAAACTATAAAATTCTATTCATTTTCAATAGTAATTATAGTATCATAGTACGGTAAGATGAGTTCTTAATCTGATAACAAAGGATCTCTCTCGTAATTCAGTGACAAGTTATCCCAACAAATTAAGCCATCAACTAAGACGAGAGTTTGTAACATCATATAATTCTTCACGAGGCTCAAAGCACCAAATCTGAACTCCGCAAGTCTTCCCGACCGGGACAAGTACGCCAGGAAGCAATCCTCGGCGACAAGAAGCCCAGTGAAAATCACATAATTTCCAAAACAACGTTAAAGCAGTTTAATCACCAGAGCTTGGTCTTGACCCAGAAGAGGAGGAAGACAACTCCGAGAACAATGGCAACCGGCGCCCACTTCCGAATGAAAGCCTAAAAGGAGGGAAGAAAGAGGGGCAGGTAAGAGTGAAATCACAAATAAAATGTTGGGAGTAATTCCACATAAATCATATATTTGACTTGGGTCTTCTAACAGGGTTGAACTCACAAGTACCATTGTCAATAGTGTCTGATAAAACTGACCTGTCGATTTAGATCTCTCGCCTTATCAGCATATATGCGTGATTCTGATGTTAAGCGGCTGGACATCTGACTGACCTCTGCAGAATCGGAAATCGAAAGTTCGAATCAATTTTGGCCAGAACAGGTTTCACAAGAGGAAAAGAATGCAATTCTATCTATGTAATAAGTTAATAGCCCCACGAAAAAAATGATCTATCAAACTTAGAAGTGTTCTCAGAATAAATGACATGATGAGAAAACGAACGATTCTCAAAGTTTTAAGAACATCTTACGGTCCAACTTTTCACCAACGCCAAGAACTTCCTGCACGTTTCGAGTCATTACTTGGTGGACTTCATAAAGCTCATCATTTAACTTTGCAATATTCCGCTGAGTACGGGTGTCCTGGTACAATTTCTTTGTTTTCTGTATGAATGTATCTAAACAATAAGGAAGAGAAAATAAGACCACCAAATGAGATAATATAAAAAAGAAAATAAGAAAAAACAGATAACAACAGATAATAACAGTAAACCTACCAAACTTAATGAAAGCATATGGTCTAGCTGCAGTTTCAATTTGTGCCACGTTAACACGCTCAAATTCATTCTTGAGGTCCTCAAGGTATTGGAATGCAAGTTTCTTTGGATACGCGCGGTCACACATGGTCAAATAACAAACACGCCCTTCTATTATATAACTAAGAACATAGGTCAAGGTAAACACTAAGAGGTAGCTGCTACTCATAAACAGTCAACAGAGCAAACATATAACAAGTGATACAAATATGTAAATTCCCAAAAGCGAGCTCATGTGCATGCGACTATCAAAATTAAATTGTGAGAATCTAACTAGATAGTATGTTAGTGGGGCAGGTAAATCACAGATAGATTAATTCATGAAACAGTAACGAAACAAGGGTTTCAACTACAAAGATTCAATGCTGATCTCACAATTGCCATCATAAGTTCCAGAACGAATTTAGGACAAGAATATCTAAAGCATGCAAAAGCTCGGAAAACTGATTGACTAAAGCAAACTTCAACTGCATAAAGTCGAGATATTACTTGACGCTTGCTATTATTGCACTACTTGAACTAGAAGCTAACACACTTTTTCTGGAAATTTTTGTAATTAATTCATCCCTTGACAATTGGCATCTTATGACAATTGGCATCTATTAACTTGTTGTCTATGGGCTCCTTATATGTGTGACAAAAAATAACGGCATAGAAAACAAGGGTAACAAGGATACTGGAAAACATAAGGTCCAGTTTCAACTGACATCCTTGAAGCCTCATTTTGGCCTCTTGACAGGTTCTTAAACAAAGCCTTGACTTGCTGTTTGTAGAATTCCGCATCCTTAATATCACGACCATCATCCAATCCCTCTGCCAGAGGGAGACCGTCGGTAACACGAGCAATCATTGTTAGCTTCACCATCTTGGGTTTCCAACTTCCCAGCTATAAAATGTTAGCTGCAATCACAATAAACATAAAAGATCATGTAGACTACTAATTGAAGAACTTTTCATTTCACTATGGTTTCTCCAAAAACTTTGCCTTCAATTCCGTACAAAGTTATAATCCTCACACAGTTAGAGACGTTTAGTTAGATAATGCACGCTATGCTTCAAACACACACACACAAACCAAAAATAAATTAATAATAATAACTGATTATAATTCAAACGCTTCCTTGGAAAATTGATACATCAAAAGAACGAGAGAACGTATAAGTTTTACTCTAAAAAAGAATGTATAAGTTTTAAACTTAAAATTAAGGGAATTATTCTTATATTCTAATTGGAGAAAGAAGATTTCACAAACCATAAAAACCCAAATTCCCATCCTACAAAATTAAGCATTAAAAATAAATAAAATCATTCCTATATATTGAATGTAGAATCCCAACAAAAAATTGCGATCGAACTGCTGGGATTTAACCGTGATGATAATATGGAATGCTTATCAAAATTGCAATAATCTCTTAAAAGGAAACAAAGATCGAGAAAAACGCTTCAACCCACAAGAAAAGGAAAGGGGGGAAAAAATCCCATCTCCTTTCCAAAATTGAAGAAAATGAACGATAGCCCTATGAAATTTTGACAAAATTTGCAACAAATTAATGAAAAAAGTGTAAAGAAAAGCAGAATTACCTGGTTATGGGAATAGATTTTGAGACTCAGAGCGACAAGGATTTGAGAAAATGAGGGTTGAATTTTGTGTGCGATCTAAAAGAGCGATCTAGCCAGCTTGCACGTTTCAGCCCACGCGTCAAAAGGGTCAGTTTTTATGTCTCAAAAGTACAACAACAATCTAGATTACAGATGCATAATATACTTTTTTTTTATTTGTCGATAAAAAAATAAAATAAAATACTAAATTGAAATGGGATTGAAATGAAAACTTTGCCTACATTAATAAATTTCAGAAAAAAAGTTCACAATCAATATTGCCGAGCCTAACACCATTAGAAGAAAACACTAAACATAATCAACTGCACAAAATATATATATATATACATATATATATACACACACACACTCTTAAAACTAAATCATAAAAAAAAAAAAAGAGAAAACATCAAAGTAAAAAAGTTGAATTGTGATCCAAACCTATGAAACGAACGGGGCTTACCGTCAATCGGAAGGAGGGCTGGCGCTGTGCGTGCTGCTGTGCTAGGGTTTCTAGTGCTATGGAAAGAAAGGGCGGGGGCAAATTCGAATGAGAGAGAGAAATCAAGGGCTGAAGAGTTTTTGACGAGACTTTTTTCCTTGTTTGCTTGCCTTTTTTTGCCCCTTGATAATTGACTTTATTTTTTGGTTTTTTTTTTTTTTTCATGGGAGAAGATGGGTAGAGAGATCCTACGGTCCAAGGCAATGACGTGTTGAAATGGAGGGCTAAGCACATTGGTAAACATATTCACGGCTGCACCTAAGTCTTGTCCATTAGCCAAAATAAATAAATAAATAAAAGAAATTTGCTAAGGTTTTTTTCGTATTTCCATTTAAATTACTTCTCTCGTTTTTTCTTTTAACAAAGTTTTACAAATTGCCATTAAATTATGTTATTTGTGTCAGCACACCTCCTACTTTAAAATGTATCTATTTTATTCCTTGATTTATTATATATTTTTAACTTTCTCCTTTCATGTCTGTTCACGTTAATAGTGAATGAAATTATTAAAGCTTCTTATTAATTTGTTAATTAGGTATTTTAAGTTTATTAAATGCCCTTCCTTTTAAAACCTTAGTTAAGCATCATAAGTCATAGCTCACCTCTATTAGTTGCTTAGAGCGAATCAAGAGTAATAAGAAGGAAAATGTGAAGAAAAAAATATGGTGATACTTTATGTCACTTCACTTAAAAATAAATAATTATAATTCAATTAATAAAGAGAAAACGAGTTACGGTGACTCTTAATTATTTAAGATGACATAAATAAAAGATATGTACAAAATCATGATGAACCATGTACTTTTCTTTTAGAGTCTGTTTTGTAAACTAGTTTAAGTGGGTTTGAACTAAAAAGCTTTTCAAATTAGTGTTTTGCAAAATTTTAAGTTCTGGTTTAATGTTTCAAATAAAAAAAAAATTTAAGAATCTCCGCTTGAAAACAAGTTTGAACCGTTTTTTATGAACTTACCATTTCAATTAAAAAGTTCAAACGACCACATTTTGAACATGTTTAGAGTGAGATTTTTCCAATTCTATAGCTTTAACTTGGGTTACAAATTGACCCTTAATCCGTAGAAACCAATCCTTGAACACTCCTTTCTTAGCAAGTAAAAAAAAATGAATAAATAAATAAATCCTCGAACACTCGTAAGTTTTGGCACATTGTGGAGATTGGGAGTACATATTCTAGCATTCAAACTTTTTCTCAGTGCGATTAGAGATGTAAGTTTGGGCTGTCTGGCCAAGAAAAATTTCAAACTAATCCGGTTCGGTCCTAAAAAAGAAAGTTGGCCCAGTCCGGATCTAAGCTCAAAAAATTTAGAGCCGGCCTAAAGTTTTATAAAGTATTTTAAAAAAAATCTATAAAAATATAATGTCTGGGCTGGGTCAGACTATCCCTAAAAAAGAGAGTCGGTCTAACCCGACCCTAAGTCTAAAAAATTAAGACCGAACCGGACTCAAGTCAACAGTGATGAGTTTCGGGCCGGTCCGTTTAGCTCGCTCTAAACTTATAGCTCGAGGTGCAATTAGCAAAAAAAAAAAAAAAAAAAAAAAAAAAAAATTTTCTGGGGGTTTTCTGGGTGCATTTCAATGTTTAATATAGTGCGGGTTTGTGCATATGAGTTATGTGCACCTCCTCAAAATTTCACCGCACGATTTCAAAAAGTCCACAGAAAGAAGGGGGAAAAAAAGAGGGGAGGGGGGAGAGAGAAAATATCCAATGCTGATTCCAGTGCTTTTTTGATAGCAATCTATCATGTTCTGTTGAGTATCGAGGATAGAGCAGGAGTTCACAGAACCAGTTTCACTTCACTCTCATGGCTTTTGCTGTTGGCTTCTTCTTTCCAAATCAAACTCTCAAATCTCCTGCACTTCCGTTACCTTCCGTCTATCCATCTCCCTTTTCAGCTTCACAGATTTCAACACTTTCTTCTTCGTTACCAAACAATGCTCATCATCACTTGAAGCTCAAACACCTTATTAGAACATCTTCTGAAGGTAAGCGTACCCTTCTGAGTTTCATGGTTTTATCATCTTTTCAACTTGAATTTCACTCCAAAATAAACAGTTAGAGATGGGTTTTCCTTGAATTGAGCTTTAAAAACTCTTTAAGAATGTTATTCTGCAGTTTTCTTATAGTATACTTTTTTTTTTTTTGGCTGAGAATTTTCGGTACGGTATAAAGGAAATACTATTTGGTATATTATAATACCTTGTTTATTCTAAACATGACTTTCGTGTAATCTAACGCTTAAAGAACGGTCCTGATACTTATTTCGTACCTTGCCTCATAATTCTCCTATTTTCCACTTTTCTTATATGAAGTCAATACATAACTTTTGCAACTATTGAGTATGATATTCCTCGTCATCTTACAGGAGTTCCCATTGAATTAACCGAAGATTCGAAGTTTGTTCCTGTAAATCCCGATGAGTTACAATATGGTCCACCTGTAAGTTCTGGTTAGTTTCACTCTAGATGTCATCACCCTTTCCTTTCAATTCTTAATCTCATGCTTTCTTCAATTTAAATTCAAGAAATAAACTACTTTTTTGGAAATCACTTAGGGTGTGTTCGGCTGCCTAAAAAACTTAAAAAAAGACAAGTCCTAAAAAACTCAAAAAAAGACAAGGCCTAAAAAACTCAAAAAAAGGCAAGTTGAGTTCTAATTTTATTTAAGTTCTTGTTCTTTTAAGTTTGAACTCGAGTTTGTGACTAAAATTTGAGTTCAAGTATCCCCTTCAACTCGAGTTCAGAAACTCAAACTCAAATTAATAAACAATATTTTTTCTATTCTTAAAAATGTTATAACTTTTTCGTTTTAATCCTGATTGAGATTATTTTTTTTCTGTGTTGACAACGAAAAGACGAATAAAACTCCACCCATATACCCTATTAAAATTTTTCATCACTATTGAGTTTTTATTAAAATACTATCTAAATACAAATTTAAGTTTTGACTCACTCAAACACAAACTCAAAAAAAGATTCTTATCTCAAACCATAACTCATATGTACACAACCAAATACAAACTTAAGTTACAACTTCAACTCAAGTTATAATTCAAATTCAACTCAAAAACTACACTCAAGTCATACTCTAAAAGAACAGGCCCTTAGTGTACATGCTTTCCTTTTTCTTTTTTTTTTGGTCATGCCTATTAGATTCAAGGGTTTTTATTTTTTTTTATTTTTTTTGAAATGTAAGAGGAAATGTTCTATTCCTTAAGTTTTTTTATTTGTTTGTCACTTCCTTTTCAATACTACTGATGTTGAACATAAACTCTTGTTTTGCAGGCTTTGTTATTGTTAGGCTTTGAAGTGGAGGAAACTGTGAAGGTGATACATATTTTTCAGTCACCGGTTTTGTTGTATATCATTTATATAGGATTTCTGGTTTTCAGAAAATGTGTTTCTTCTTGGTTGTACAATTTAATCATTCATTTGTTTAGTAGACCTTTTGTAGAGAATTGTTAAACCTATAGGATATACAATTAAAATAGTTCTATGTTACCTCATAGTTATACACATCTCTGGTGTGTTGCAGATAAATCAGCTTTTGAAAGGAATGGATGGGGAATTCTTACAGGTACAATTCCTATTACTTTAGAAATCTACAACAAAACACGGTTGAACTAAGCGATTAAATTAAAGTTCTTTTGGTCAAGGTTGTCTAAAGAAGTTCAAAATTGGAACTAAATACCAGTATGAGTAATGCTAGGGACATCAACTCTAATTCTTACTTTTTTTGTACCAACTCAAGTTGACTGTGAGTTATCATCATCTATTATGATTCCTCTCTTGTTCTTCGTATTTCCTGCTAAAGGGGAATTAGAAAAAATAAAATTGCTTGTTTATCGATAAATCATACATACATCTGCTTTCTGAACGCGTTACTGATCCCATCTTTTTTTTAGATTATCTTGTGTACTGAAGAGATGATTACTCGTTCATTGTGGGATGCAATTAACACAGAGCAACCCAATTTGGAAAAAGTTAAGGTTGAACTCTTGATCTTACTGGTGCTTGATTTATGTTCAGAATGTTTACTGATCTGGCACTGGTTTCGAATATGAAGAATGAACTTTCATTGCATGGTTTTTCTGCTAAGTTCTTTAAAGCTTTTCAAAAATACTCCACTCAAAGCGACCAATATATGATGCAGAAGATGCATGTCAGCGATTGGAGGGAAATCAATATGGAAAAACATAGTTTCAGGAGACTCTGGTTTGGAGACTAATGCTAACTCTTGTATTCTACGTGTAAATGTTTGTGGTTTTGCTCTGCAGATTGCCCAGTCATTGCCACGGATCTGTTTCTTATCTGGTCTTACTGGGGAGGAGATGATGATGTTCATTGACGCTTTTCCGGAAGCTGGTATGGAAGATTCCCCGTGTCTAGTATTAAATTCACTGATAAAGTTTTTTTACCTAAGCACTCAGCATTCTGCTTTTTGATGATAAGAAAATGGTGTCGAAGTGTTATTTGAATCCTGCGACTACTATGCTTTTAGTTGTAATCAATTTCTCGAGGCACATGGGATAAATGATTGGAGAAATTTGCATACAATCTATATTCACCAGTGTCTTCATCACATGAATGTATGAATTAAGATTGAATTGTTCTCGCTTTACAGGACTAGAACCAGCTGTGTTTGCAGCTCTTGTTCCGAACAGTGCGGAAAAACCTCTGCAAGAACTGATAGAAGAGATTATGGGAGACCATGAAATGCTGGTGAGTCTGCCTTTTTGTGTTCCCTACACAAGTATTTTATGTTTGAATAAATTATCCTATCCATAACAACATGGTGATTTTCATACAGACTTCAAATGAATGAGAGACAAGCCCCGTATGCAGAATCTTCTCTCCGAAAAATCAACGCTATGCTATGCTAACATGAACTAATTTTCATTGGAAGTATTGCTTTGTTATGTTGAATTAGCGTAAAAATGAACCTCGGAAGTAAATAACTTTTGAGAATTTTTGAGTATTTTTTTAATTAATTATGATAGTGAAGCCAAAAAAACATCCTACTCTTCACATTGAATCGTCTCCTTTTGTTTTGTCAACGTATATTGCATAATTACTCATGCATCTGAACTTGGGAAATAATCATTGTCTTAAAGAAATTGCACCATTTTTTTTTTTACCATTTTTGCGGTCAAAAGCCTACAACCTTCAATTCTCGGGGAACACCCATGTACATGAACATACAAAACATGAACTAGAGCCTTTAATGTTTTGCACTATGGATACATGTATGTTACAAAAGAAAAAAAAGAATGTATGATTTTAAAAAATGGAATAGTTACTAGTTTAAACGGATGATGTTTTCATTTTACTGATGATGTTCTTCTCTATATTAGTTCGGCTGGTTTCTAAGATCTCATTCATTTCACCTATTCGAGTTTTCAATTCTAAGTTTTCACAGTAAAAAGTTCTAAAAAAATATCACATCTAACTTTTTTTACTACAGTGAAAAGTTCTTATAAAATGTCACATCTCAGTTCAAATTAAAAACTTGAATCCGAACGAGGCCTAATTATTTGGCTGTTGCATAATTTAATGAAATTGCTGAGAGAGAGAGTGCATATATTATATCCTAACAGAACCGCTATCTTTAAAATAAATAAATTAAAAAAAAACAAGAAGAAGACAATTTCACTCACTCACGGAACAGAATCTGCAATTACAAACTGTTTACACAATCAGGAAGTTCCTCCAACCAAAATTGGTCACCAAGTCATTCCCAAAAACAAAAAAAAGGTCACTAAAACAGTTAAAACCAGTGCAAGCCAAGTGATGTGCCACTTTGTTGGGACTTCTGGGAGCAAACAGGAAATCGATTAACCAGAAGTCAGGAACCAGCCACAAATAGCAGACATCAGCAATGATGGGCCCCTGTCCCTCCACGGCAAAGGAGAGCTATAACAACCACACACTCTGCAACACCCGGAGAAAAAAAAATTCCAAGCACACGCTTAGCAGCCTTATGTCTCGCTCTTACTTTTCAAGTTAGCAAACGTGCGGCCTTAGCACTCACTTAAATGATAAGAAGAACAGCCGCTGAGCAAACCTTAATAACTGCTCCAGCACCAATCCAATCAAAGCCAGGAACAACTGCTGCATGAATGTTCAGCTTTTATACATTCAAATTTCCAGCCAAAGGCGCCGGGCACTAAGAATTGTGATACAAAATCGAAAGTTAAGATTTTATTATGCAAGTATTATTGAATTGAACAAACAATTGGAAGAATGAGACAAGATTCTTGCCGAACACACTTCACACAATCAGGTATTCGAGAGACCTGAACTCCAAATTCTACACAAAACAATTCTCTGCCTTCCCCGTTTACTTCCACTCCTTTATATCTCCCTTATTTCCCGCCCAAAAACAGTTATTCCTACATCCTATTCACTCTACATTAGGCAGCCCAGTCACAGAATTCCCTTTTTGCCCTTGCCTTTTATTCCTCCTCACGTAAGTGAAATGCACCGGTGGCTTATCAAATTGGAAGTCATAGGAGGAGGCTGCACCATGGGAACCAAAACAGGCTCGATACCCCGCCTAAACTCCTCAAATAGGGCTATAGCATCTTCACAGCACTTGGGGGCACACCTGCAGGAACCACTGTGGATCATAAGGTTTTGATCATTCCAAACACTCCACAGCACAATGCAAAAACGATTAACGTCGCGATCAGCCAACCAGAAGACCATGTCCAACAGACCATCAACCAAGCTGTCTTTTTAAGAAGAGAGCACATCCCACCACTCAGATAGCATCCAGACGCAAACAGCAGGAGTACGCTCAAATAAAAGTATGGTAAGAGGATTCAGACTTGTCACCGCATCTTGGGTAAACAGTTAAGAAAACAATACCTTGCTCATGAAGATTAAGAAGAGAAGGCAAAAAATTGCTGCAGCCCTTCTATATGGAGATTTTCAATTTATGGGGGATTTTTAAGATCATAGCCCATTCCACAACTGAAAAGCAGAACCCTAAGGTCTAAAACATTATCACAGTGTTAGGTCCTAGTTGAGTTCCACGTTGCTAAAGTATGGGCTTAGCATGTGGGTTTATAACCACTTGGGCACCCTCTCTCTAAAAGCTAACTTTTGGGAATGAGTTCCACTCAAGGGTTGTAACACACCGTTCCTCGGTTCAAGTGCAAGCGAGTAACTTGATGTCACAGAACAGTTCTGTTAGGAACCTAACTCAGAAAATCAGCCAAACACCAATACCACACTCACACACACCAGAAACAGTAAGAAAATGAGAGTAATCGGAGGGAATATTATTAATCCAATCAGAGGCAAGAACACCAAATTACACTTAAATATAAAAGATAGATTGGAGATTTCGAGCTCTCCGGCACTCCCAGCCGTTCCGGCAACACACCCAACACTCAGAAGATGAAAATACTCATTGCCTAAACCTACTCCCCTTCCCCCATTCAAATTACTCCCAGATTAGCCCCCTTGACGTCAGCCCATCTTAGCCACTTTCAATATTTTCCCTTAGGCCCCTAACTCTGTGTTTTCTACCCGTTTTGGCCCTCCTAGTGTAAACCTGCTTCACTAGGGGTCTAACAAGTTCCCATTGTCACCATAATGCCACAATTAATCTTCAAGGTTACTACAGCCTGGAGGAATGCCAAGGACTGAATTCTTATCAATTTCCCAAGGATTATCAACATTTTTTCCTTTCAAATTTCAGCATCCAGCAGGGAAGAGAAACCTCAATAACCTTTAAATTTTCAGTGATAGATCGGGACTGGAAATAGGGAGATAAGAACCAGGTCCAGGAAACCGACAAACCGAACTACCATTCCCAACTCTCACCTACAGACATTGGCAAGCAAATCCCTGCCCCAGACTAAAATTGATGCTTTAATCAGTACTTTGTTTAGTTTGTAATAGCTCCACCTGATTTCTGAAGAGCAAATGGCTTAAAAACTACACAATAAAACCAAAAATATATATATATATATATCTATTCTTCGCCACTAAAATCAAGGAAATTTTACATTAAAGAGAGAGTTGTCTTGAAACATGACATGCAAAAGACAGACTCCATAAAACATGTTGCTCAAATAAACTCCAATTTCCACAGTATATATTAGTGAGTATCAGCAGACTGCAATTACTCTTCATCAGTTACGGTGCTTCTCTGAAAGCAAAAGCAACATAGAAATCTCTCCTTTTTTCCCCTTTGCCAGTCCTCACGAAAAGCAAATTTTGCAGCAAAAATGGAATTTAATTTGTATCCAGAAGCTTCATTCAGTTGGTAATCACTCTCAGTCTAAATTGAATTTTCCAGAAACTAAATTCTCATTACCTTGAAAAAACACTGAATAATCAATGCATCAATCAATCGTCCTCGTCGTCACCACTCTCATCGCTGAAGTAACTCGCCTTCTTCATCCTCTTCTTCTCCTGCCCGCCGTCGCCGCGGCTTCTCAACAGCCTATCGTCTGCGCCGCCGTCCACCACCGACGCCCAATTGTCCTCCTCAAACCCTTCCCCGCCGTCCGGTCCTATCTCCTCATCCTGCTCATTCTCTCTCCAGCAATTAGTCCCTCTCCCTCCTCCTCCTCCTCCTCCTCCTCCTCTACCTCTCTCTCTCTTCGGCGGTGGGCGCTCCCTCGGCCCCAGCTGGTTCTTCGGGCACTCGTACGACAGGTGTCCTTCGGCTCCGCACTCGTAGCACCGGCTCTTGTCCCGGTAGACTCTCTTCCTGATAAACTCCGCCGAGCGGCCATTATCGGCGGCGATCGAGGCCGTTAGGGTTCGGCCGTTGAGGACCTTGCCGTGCATCTGTGAGGCGGCGAAAACGGCGTCGTCTCGGGAGACGAACTGGACGAATGCAACACCGCGGCTTTGGCGCGTGTGGCGGTCCTTGAGGACGGACACTCGCGCGATCTTGCCGAAGGTGGAGAAGAGCGTGTGGAGGTCGGAGTTGGTGAGGGCGAAGTCGATGTTCGACACGTAGAGCGTCGATTTCGACGGCGCTAGGGTTCCAGAGCCGCCTCCACCGCCGGAGTGTTTTTTGGCGGCGGAGGTGGTGGCGCCGGCGCCATCCGGAGGGTTTGCAGCGGCGGAGGCGTAGCGATAGTAGAAGGTGTCGTCGTCGTCGTCGCTGTCGGTTGGGTTGTTCTTCTTCGTCGTCTTCTTGTTTTTCACCATTGGCTTCTCTGTGTGTTTAGTGAAATGGAAATGATTTCAACTAAAACATATGATTGAATTTAAGAGATAAGTGCCGGAATTGTTCTTTGTTTTTATTTTTCACGTTTTTTTTATAAAGAAGAAATGAAAACAATTTTAAGAACCGCGTTTTACATAATTAAAAATAATAAAAAAAGAAATAAAAATAATTTTTTAATTTAGTATAAATAAGAGAGAAATGATAGAAGAATTAAGGAAGAAAACAAGTAGAAGAATTATTACATGAAAAATGATAAGAGTTTGTTATTTAGTAAGAAACAAGATAGGAGAAAAAGAAATTTATGATGGAAAAAAATTATAGTGGGGTTTATCATTTTTTATCTCTCTAATATTAGGAGGAAAACTCAAATCTACTTATTGATAGTTAAATTTATTTTTGTGTCTCTATTTTAAAATCTAAATAAATATTAAACAATTGATAAAATAGTCATTTAGACTATTACATGCTTTATTTTCTCTCATTATACCAAACACTATAAAGGAAAATCAACTTCATTCATTTCTTTCACATTTTCTTTCTTTTATGTGTTTTCTTTCCATTCTTTTTTCTTTTCCTCTTACTAAACGGACTCTTAGTCGTTTTTTATTTTTTATTTTCATTTTCTCTTCTCTCCAGTAGAGGGAGACATTAATGAGTTTTTTATACTAAAAATAATCTCTTAATAAAACTACCAAACGCATTTTCAAAAATGATTTATGTCTAAGATTGAAAACGTTTTCATTTTCATTTTCATACAAAAAATAAAATCATTTTAGAACGAGTTCCAAACGCACCCAATGCCTTGTTCGTTTCGCGGATTTAAGTTTTTAATTCAAGTTGAGATGTGATATTTTTAAGAGTTTTTAATTGTAGCAAAAAAGTTAAATGTGATATTTTTTAACAATTTTTAACTGTAAATACTTAAAACTGAAAGTTTAAATCAGAAACGAGGGCAAGATTACTTTGTCATTTTGTCCCTATGAAAGTTTATATCATTATTACTGAATAAACTTAAATCATTTTCAAAAAGTTCTACTGCTTTAGTATTTGCAGTAGCATTATCTAATGTTATAGCCATTACTCTATCCCTTAAACTATATTCATCAATGACAGATAAAATTGTATTATATATTAAATTGACAGTATGTGATCCTATAACACATTTAAAACTTAATATTCTCTTATCTAAATCAAAACCTTTAAAATAATGTTCGGTTACAGCTAAATAATATTTGTTGGTAATGACGGACCAAATATCCGCCGTTAATGCAACGCAACCACTAGTAGAGTGTAAAAGGTTTATTAATGCTTTCCTTTCTTGTTTATATAATTGTAATGCATATTTCCTAAGAGTGGTTCTTGAAAAAAAATTATGCATTACGATTATATACAATTTTAATATAACGTTGTCAATTTCTTTGTTCGGTAAAACTAAGTGGTTGATCTAGTGTGGCTATTAATCGTATCATTTCGTACGATCGACTTGCAGATCGTATTTCTAAATGGTTAGATCGCCGGTTTGGCAGTTAAACGATAATTGTGTTTGGCAGAAATCGGGTCCACCTCCTTGCTTTTGAAGACACTTTTTAGAGTGTCTTCTCAAGTGTGTAATGCCATGAATAGTGTTACTTTGTAATTTATCACCACAATATTTACATTGAGTTATGTATTTAACGTTACTGTTATTGTCGACCTACTCGAATGTGTTGAAGTGCTCCTAAAGTGTTGAGGTGCGCTTGAATTTCTTCTTAGAACTTGCAACACTTGCACTAGCACTTCCACTTGCCTCTCCTCCACGCCCACCACCATTACATCCACGACCTCTAGTACGTCCACTAGGGCTCGGATTTGCAGTTTCATCAGCAACTCTTTTTGCAGTTTGTGATTCCTGCGTTTGAAAAACATTAGGAAATTATCCTTCTTCAATGTTAAATTGGGCATCAACCGGAATATCACCACCATAACCAGAAGAATCCATTATAAAAATATAAGAGAGATTGAGAGCGCTTTGAGAGAGATTAAGAGAGATCGAGAGAGATTTGAGCGAGATTAAGAGAGATTTGAGAGAGATTAAGAGAGATTTGAGAGAGATTGAGAGAAATTAAGAGATGATGAGAGTTTTTGGGTAAGGAAAATAGTTGGGGGAGAGAGGGTATTTATAGGAAATTTTTTGGCTTGAAAAAAAAAATTTTCCCTCAAATTTTCGGTTCCAACGGTAACACACACTCAGGTCGGGTCGGGTTTGTACAGATTGGGCAACGGTAAAAAAAAAAAAAAAAACAAAGAGCCGTTGGGGTCGGCGGGTCGGGTCGGGTAAAATAGAGCCGTTGCATTCAAATTCGGGCAATTTTCAAGCTAATGGTCACAAAGAATTCAGGTCGGGTTGGGCAAAAATTCAAAAAACTAGCCGTTTTTTGAGTTTTCAGGCACAACTTCGGACAACGGGTCGGGCATCGGGTTACGCTGAAAAATTCAAAAAAAAATCCCGCGGACGGCGGTGACGGCTTCTCCACCGGCGGCGGGCCTGCCGGGGTTGGTTATTTCTTAGGCTGCCTGAGCCCGGCAAAAATGTGTAGACAGACGGCGAATGGTGCTTGCCCGCCAAACCTGAAAACTTTCGGGCTTTGGGCAGGCTCGCCGCTCGAAATTACAACACTAATGGAATGTTATCTCACTTTTCCAGTAGAACTTGCCTCACTCTGTTAGTATAAGGATTACTTTCGTAAAAGCCACGTGAACTTTATAACTTAATTCAATATGTGCCTCGAAAAAGGTTTACTTCACCTGTTAAAGTATGTAAAAATGGTTCAAAATGTTAGATGAATTAATGTTAGACGATCTCCAATTCAAATGTTAATGTTAATTATTTTTGTTATAATGTATAATATTATTTAAAATATTAAATATACTTTTTATAAAAATAAAAGTAAATTTTAATATTTAAAATAATTAAAAAATGTAAAAGTTACATTGATTACACGAAAAAAGTAAACATTTTAACTAATAGCAATCAAATGCTAAATTTCTCATATGCTACACTTGGTGGGAAATTTGTCACAAAATATAACATATGAAAAATTTAACACAACATATAGTATGACATGAGTGTTTTTTATACTTAAATGTTAAATTTATAATTGACACATCAATTATAACATTGTATTAGAGATGCTTCTATAAAGGCACCTTCAATTACTAATTTTTTTAATCAATTTATCTTTTAATTTTTTAAAATATCAACGGCGGGTTGACACAAAAATAATAACTAACGGAATAAATTTATGGCCCGTTTACTAACCGGGAAACCAATTTTAGGAAAGAGAATGGGTGCGTTTGGAATTGGTTCCAAAACGTTTTTATTTTTTGTATGAAAATGAAAACGAAAACGTTTTTATTTTCATTTTGGAATCATTTCTGAAAATGCGTTTGGTAGTTTTATTCCGAGATTGTTTTCAGTTTAAAAAAAACTGAAATTGTGTTTGGTGGTTTAATTTTTAAAAACATGTAATAATATTTAAATTAATAATATATTAAATAAATAATCATATTAAATAATCGTATTAAATATATTAAATAATAATATATTAAAAAATATTATTACTAAATATATTAAATATTTAATATATTATAAACATGTTATATATGAAAACTGCAGGCGGCGCTCAATCTCAGAAGTGGGGAAATGAAAACGGAAAAAATTCGTTTTCAGAATCATAAAGAAAAAAGAGAAAATGAAAACAGGTGTTTTTAGTTTTGATTTTAAAAAATTTTACGCCAAACGCGTTTTTTGTAGGTGTTTTCAATTTTTTTTCTCGAAAATTGTGAAAAATGAAAACGAGACTAGAAACAAACAGGCCCAATGATTCTTGTATTTATTTTTATATTTGATAGTTGAATTACGTGGACCCCATCTAATAACTTTCTTGATAAAGAAACACTTATATCCCACCCCTTACCTATGAAATTTAACTCCTTCCTCTAAAAAATAGGAACTAACTAACTTATTTATCAAATTTACCCTTATTTAAATTAGTTATTCACTTAGCACAAGGGTACTTTTATAAGCACATTTATTATATTCCATTTCTTTTAATTTTTATGCAAGTAAACAACATAATAGGAATTTATTTCCTCTTGTAAATTATTTCCAAGTAGATTAGTAAAACTTAATTTATGGAGTTATAGGACTTAATTTTATGAAACTTAATTTCTTTTTTCTTGGAATTTATTTCCTATTCTTTAAGTTCCTAATTAGTAAACATACCCTAAAATTAATAGGTTGAGAGGTATAGTGTCACTTTATTATTTTGTTAGTTTTATAAATGTAAGAGCATTTTAAATTATGTTACATAATTTAGAGGGTGTGATGGTTTTTTTTTTTTTTTTTTTTTTTTTTTTAAAATTTAAAAGGTTATTTGGGGAAATTAAAAAAATTATTTTTTTTTTTTTTTTTTTTTCAAAATTCAAAGGTATATTGAGGCAACTTACAAAATTCAAGCGAAATTTATGAACCCCAAATCTATTTATTAATTCTATTACAATATTTTTTTCTCATAAAAATTTAAATTTAAAACATCAAAATCAAAAATCATAATTTAAATATATATTTTAAATGAGCCCTATAAAAAGCTTCTTCCCTTGTTAGCTCCTTCTATGTCTCATCTAATCTGAGGTGCGGCTAGTAAAAAGCAAAGACCCAAAAAAGAAGAAAAACGATTTTAATGGAGAAATGGTTATTCACTTATTTTTCAAACTTGTTTTAGGGTTATTCAATTTGAGAAATTTGGGTTTTGATGAAGAAAGAGTTTGTGATTTGAATTATTATAAAATACAAAATTTTTTATTTTTTTTAAGGGTATTTTGGACAGTTTACCGAGAAGAGGTTTTGATTTCGACGACACAAATTTGATGAGATGAAACGTATAAGGTGTATTTTATAAATGACTTAAAATAGAAGGTCCAAAATATATAAATAACCGAATTTGGAATTACCCAAAATATTTTCACTTTTGAGGCTCGAAGTGATGGGACGAGGCAGAGAACAAAGAAGCTTCTAGCTTTCCACAGGTTGGCTCGCTTGAATCGGATGTTCGATCTCTAAACGGCCTCCTCAGACAATTTAATATCTGAACTGAATATTCTTGTGAAATAAAACATGGCCTTCTAGGGTTTTCCTGTAAGTTATCACTTTCTTTTTTGCAATTTCATTTTTCCCCGTATTTTCACAACTTCTTCTTTTTTTATTTTATTTTATAATTTTATAGAATTAATAAAAACTATGATTTTGAAATTGGGTACAAGATATTTGAACTTTATTTAGATGGGCATTGATTGAAATGCATGATCTTGGCTTTTTAAATTTTGTTTTGAACGAAGATCTATTCAAGCAGAAGATTGATTGAGAAAAATAATGAATCTAATTTACTTTTCACGAAGAGAAGATAATATAAGCAGGAGGTGTATTTTCAGTTTCTTTCTCTCTCTCTCTTCTTTTCGGTAATGGAATGGAGCTAAGGTGCTATTTTGATGTGGGAGTGAAAGAATAGAAACATTGTTGAATGATCACATTGATTTCAAAATTGTTTATTTTGTTGGGTTTAGAGTTGCTGTTGATTGTCACCATATATATATATATATATCTATATATATAGACACATACTCACGATCACTCTGGTTCCACGAGATCCATGGCCGAGTCATATGAATATACACACACTTTCATACAGAGAGGCATGGGAACATGAAAGATTGACCGTCTTAAACACTAGACCTTTAGAAATACCATCCGAATTGCCTGCATAGTCAAAACTTGGATAGTCATGAAATGGATAGCTTTGAGAACGTAGTTAAGAAAGCATTTTATAGTTGATATGAAACTGGAGAGTAGTTTGGTTCAAGTTGAGGTCGTTTATGATCCTAAAAGTGATATGATACGTTTCCATTAGCATATAGTCGTTTAAACTATTTTTATTTTTATTTTTATTATTTATTTATTTATTTTGCTAGAGTTAAATCCGATATGTGAATTGTAAAGGATCAGGATAGATATAATTTTGCTAATTCTGCCTTGGTTTTAGAATAAACCCCAATCGCAATATTTGGTTGGAGATATGCCGGCTATCTCTTCATAATTTTTTAGATTTTGGCCTTTTGGACTATGAGTTATATAGCTTTACTCCTACTGAAACAACCAAGGCTGCTGATATTCCTAGTCTAAGCTATTCTTGAGTTTATTGGTGTATTTTCATGGTTTCCAATCATATATTACTGTTACATGAGAGCTCTTTTCAAAATTAATGATTAGATGCTAAACGTACTAAATCCTACCAAATAAAGAAGACGCATGCAGCTTGTAGATCATCTCTAGATATGTAAATCTTCAACCTTTTCAATTCCCCTTCAGTTCTTGCTTCTTCCTTTTTTTCCCCCTTTACTAGTTCACACATTGATGCATTCGCTTTTGTAACTCTTGACAAAAACCAGAGACAAACTGCATCTTGTCCTCGAACAATGCATGAATTCTCCGCTTTTGACGGCTTTTTGGATATAACAGAGTGCTTGGCAGAGATGATTAAATATGTGGCAAATGAACCCTCAGTAGGGCTTTTCTATGTTCAGCAGCATGCTCAAAATGCAGTGCCAAATGTCGTTCGTCTCACGAATAACGTTGTGGATAAATCTCATGAAACAACTTTGCATACTGAAGATTCCGAGGATTCAATAACCATGGTGAGGACTATGAAAGAATGCGGATTCCCCATTGCAGATGAGATGATTAGGGACATAAAGAAATCTTTGTTGATCATGTCTACGAAACAACCAAGAAGAGGGTTAATTCATGACTTGAGATCTGGTCTTCGAATGGATAGAACAAGCTCCTGGGGACCATCCAGTTGGGTTCGTCCTGGATTTTACGGTCAGCAGGACACTGAAAAGAGTGGCTACTTATCAACTGTATTTAAGTCTGCAAAACAGAAGGCAAGCAATTTCAAGTGGCCACAACTTGATTCAACAGAAGTCGTCCAAACAAAGGATGAGAAGCTGCTGCACTATCCCGAGCAACCATTAACAGTTGCATCTGCGGCAAGCACTAATTCATCTCTGCCAGATGTGGAACACAATGAACTGCCCTTTTCAAGTCAGATTGCAGATGAACCACAAGAAGAACAAATAGACATGAGTTCGTCGTTCCATAGTTCAATACCAGTATTGGAGAACTATGACGAGTTCAAGGCAGATAAAGAAGCCAAATTAGAGGAGTGGTTAGGAGATAATGGCAACCTGGATAATCGTGGAGGCGAAAGTGATTCAGGAGCAATTTAACTTCAAGTCTTGACAACATACAGTACAGATACTGAAGATGTTAGACTGTATATACTGATGTTTATTACTTGATTATCTGCTCTTGACGATTTGTGTACAATTTGATCTGTTGTAACAATGTTATTCAAGTATTTTTTTCCCCTTTTACGGGGAATGTTTAATGGTGTGGTTGGTGTTTTATCAATGGTAACAAGAGGAAAAGAAAATAATAATAATAAGAATCCCTTCATTTCGTAATTGTTCTTCTAGCCCTTTGAGGGTTTTTTTTTTTTTTTTTTTTTCTCGGTTCAATGTTCTTTTGGCCTCGACATGCTTGTGAAATTCGAATGCTTTTCCTTCGCTATGCATCTCCTAATTACAGTACTATTATGCCTTTGCTAGAGTGCTTGGCGTGTCAAACTCCATTAAGAGTCCACAAGCAAAATCGTATCTGTAAAGTCTTGATTCAAACATATTTCAGTAAGATAATAATAATAATAATGACGACAAAGACGAGGACGACGATCATAATAAGCCAATGCTGCAGCCTGCAGGTATCATCTACTTCTCCGTTGGTGGTTTACACCAAATCATGAAAAATTTTCACAAAGTTATTTGCAGTTAGTACTTTTGGTAATTGTTAATACGACTAATTCCGAACTGGGAAGTGTGTTATATCACATGCAAGTATTTGGCACATAGATTGCAAGATTTGTGAGTTTTGGCGCATATCCTGAAATCCTAAACTGGATCATATGCCTTTTGTCCCTCTATCCTGATACACTCCCAATCACAAACATATTGACAATCTGGAAATTTTTGGTGGCTATTTAAAAGTTTTTTGAGTTTTTATCAATGTTGTTTCAGTGGACCCAACTAAAATGCTATACATCTCCAATGTCCTCAATGCAATATAATTTCAACGTGCTCTGTTGAATCTGATACTTGAAATCCAAAAAACAGTGCCACTTATATGTAACATCCTTGCATAAGCTGGTCTAAGAGTGTCTGCACATGTACCACTTCCAAATGAAGATTGCTTTAAAAGGATCTTTGCAATTAAGGGAAATGTAGCAGTGGGGTTTTCATAGCATGTGCTGCCAGGGGCAATTGATGGAGAAGTCCTGCAATTTTCTCATCACAGAAAAAGCGGCATCTCTCCCAGAGCGGATGGCACGCAGTGAAGGGGAACAATGGAGGAGAAAGTTGGACGCTCGAGACTAAAAGATGGCTCACAACGGGGACTGGCTGGGCTTGCGGCGGCCATGGAGGTCTTCTCCCTGAAGCACTGTGACCATTGAGGAACGTTTGCTGTGTTCTTTTGTATTTTGTTTTTCTGATATTGTTTTTTAAATCATCATTTACCAAAATAACTTTTTAAATTTGGCAATTTAACCAAGTTTTTGAAATATAGTTTATTAACCCATATGACTCGTTTATCAAATGAAAACCCTTTTAACAGATGTCACATCAGAAAAACCGTTTGAATTATAGACACAATTTGATCTCAGTGTTTAGGACAGTTTTGAATAAGGGTTACTTCGGAGAACATTTCCGAAAATAAACGTCTTAGAAAAAGTAGCTAACTTGCAAGAAATGTCTTTGCACAAGAGCGCGGATGCATACAGAACATTGGAACACATTCAGGTGCTGTGTACAGAAATACGAGCGTGCGTTGTCATGAAAATTATAATACCAAAGGAAAGCACGTATGAAAATCAAAGGATGAATAAACCGTATTTTATTATTATTTTTTTTGGTGACCAACCAACCTCAGAGAATGACAATAATGATACATCAGTTGCTCTAGGCAAATTCAACTGCAATATCTGCTCATTTTACAAACGTATGACAATCATTTTCATTTGATTGTTTTAGGAATCTGAATGTACATCAATACGAAATCTAAACACCAAGTCCCCTAGAATCACGTACATGAAAAAGTATATCTCCGACCTCATTTAAGGAACGGAGAGAAATAGTTACCAAAAATGAAACAAATTGACCAGTATTCCACGGGAAACAAAAGCTGTGGAACTTGCACATCAAGCGTCCTGGAGTTACCATGGTTCATAAGTCAAAATAATTTCCGAATTACAGAAGATTCAAGATAGTTACTGATTCCAAGCCGTGCAAGTTGCAACCCAGCTCAAAGTAAAGGTAAACAACAGTAAATCCTAACATCATGTTATAATCTCCCTGATGAAGTGCGAGGAGATTGGATACAAATCTTTTTCGGCTTAATAGCTTACACCTTTAGGCTGTAACTGTGCACTTGTGATGAAGAAAATGATGAATACCTGGGAGGAGAATCGTGCTTCTATTCCTGTTCAAGCATCAAGAGTTACTAGGATCCTATTTAAAACTTCATCATTGAGCGGGAACTACTCTCCCACAGCGCAATGAACTTGATATGCCGAGGCTAGTAGGTACTCTATTACACAGGAACGTGCTGCTGTGCTTCATCTGTGGCCTAGTGCCAAATATGTGGACCATGCTAACCGTCACAGGGCTAATTATTCACACAAAGTTGCACCACCGTGATGGCCTAAGTGATCCTCATTCAGTCAGCACAAATGAATCAGCAATCACACGTAGAAAAGCAACCAGCAACAATCAGAAACATAAGGTACACAATATACGGGAAATCCCCTCCCAACCTTTATTTTTCTCTCAATAAAGGAATACAAAGTGTTTACAGACTTTGCAGGATCATGACATTGCCCATTTCACTGCACATAATTGTGAATATAAGCCATACAGATCCGGTTGACAACCCCCAACCGCCTAGGCTAACCAGCCAGGGCCATCTGGGTGTGTCTGGCTAGTCAGCGTAACTGCCAGATATGCTGTCTGCCCATGCACTGTGCCATCTGTCGACCTTATCTGCCCCAGAGGCTCCAAGTCTCATCTGCACGCCACAAAGGCCAGTAACCACTAGTAACCGCCCATCACACGCGCTAAGCCACACTTCCTTCCGAGTTTTGTGGCGCCCCATGCCACCTGGCGTGCTGACTAGGCACACAGCCAAGTCACTGCGCCAGACGGCTGAGCTCCATGCACACTCGAACACCCAACAAGGACAGCTCAGCACTCACACCGCGCCATGTGCCTACGATGCTGATCATCCTGACCAGCCAAGTCTTGGCTCAAGGCCATGCTGCCCCTGCCAGCATGCCTTGGTGCCTAGGCCAGTGGCCATGATGCACCAGCCACCATGCCACCGTGCCTCTCCGAGTCTAAGGGGCTAACAGTAACCAAGTCCAGTTAATTAAGCCAATTTCAAAACAACGATTGCAGTAATTCAGTTATTCACCAGGCTGATTGATCTTGTAACCGACCAAAGTAAACGTGTCAGCAGTATAGTGCTTCTGTAAGGAAGAGTACATATCGCCACAGTATAACAGTGCCAGTTTACCACCGTTGAATTGTGATCAATCCAAAAAAAGGAGAGAGAAGAAATAACAAGTGCCAAGGTGATCGAATGAATTTGCGTCTAAAAGGACCATACCCTCCAAGGTGTGATTATAAATGAGAAAACAAAAGGCTGGTTAGTGTATCTGATTGCAAATTTCTGGGTGGAGCTTTTTTATTTCATCAATCAAAATTTTTAATTCTTATCTCCTTAAACAAAAGAAAGGGGGGAAAACAACAATGAGATGGAGAAATCACCAATTAAAGCTCTAAATTGGAAAGCTTTTTCATAAACAATATGGATGATTAAAATATTATAAATAATCTCTGGTTATACTTTTTTACAAGAAAAGAAAATTTATGAAAGAAAAACACCTATATTTGATTATATGAACAATGAGATATGGCAATAATTAAAATTTTGACATAAATGCAATTTATCAGAGGAACCTACACATACAAGAATCTAAACCAATGAGAACTTGATCTCTCGAAAACCTTCATGGCCATCAACCCGCATATATCATTATGAAAGCAACTCACCAGCATAATAAACTGAAAAAGCTGGGTAAAACATAGTAATCTCCAAGAACCGCTTTCACTGTCAATTAAAGGGATCTCACTTCTCGACAAGAAGAGGTGATCCATTCATTGCTTTAACATGTCACCCTGCCCTAAGAATATGAAACCATAATTACTACATGGAAAACTGTGACACCAACTTTTACTGAGAAATATCGACCATATCTCTAAACACAGATTTTTATTTATTCATTTATATTCATATGCAATAGCCACTAGCATTTAAGCACAAGTGATAACCTCTTGAACGATGATATAGCTTGAAAAGATAAACTAAATGTTTTGGAGAGGAAAGAAATAAATCATCATTTGCCTAATGTGCTTTTGCAGACAGAGTGAGAATGAAACAAAAACCAGTTCCACTAGATAGCCCACAGTCTGAGGTTAGTAGAAAAGTCGTTAATTGTTTACCTGGCCCCAGAGTAGTAGAAGATGCTTGATGCACAGTCCTAGTTTCCTCCGAGACTTTTCCATTTACGAAATTTGAATTGGGAGGAGTGGCCAACCCATTTCTCTTTCCCACTACTTTAGCCCTTCTGAAATTGTAGAGTTACAGCTAGCAAAAGTAAAATTTACCATCCAAGTTCCAAACAAACATATTTAAGATATTCAAGCAGTAAAAACATTAATATTTGCAGCTTATACCTGACCAACTTCCGTTTTAAAGTGCCAGTTTTCAGCTTTGACGTACCTTCACCAAGCAATGTAAATGTCACCAATGTTTTATGATGAGTGAAGCATAATTGAAGAGACAGAACACAAGTTCTATGATAGGAACCGAAGGGAGAGAGTATAAATAAGTTCTACTCCAAGACTCACTTGTCTTACCAGAAGTTGAAGTAGGTTTCCGATTTCCTCTCTGAGCTTTTATGGCAGCAATAACAGAATCAGCAGTAGACCCCAAACCTTTTCTTCCCACCAATTTCACTCCAAGTTTTTCACATAGGTAATTTAACCTCATCTCATCACCTCCTCTTACTTCTCTCAGCTCAAGTGCCTGTTGCCTTGACAACAAAGTGTAAACATGCAGCTGTTGCTGCTGATTAAAGTGTGATTGAAGCTGCTGGAAAAGCAACTTATTTGAATGTTGTTGGTCAGGTTTTGAACCTTCATGACTCTTCTTTCGCGGTTCATTAAATGTCACTCTTAAAATTGCCGGTGACTTTGGATCAGCATTTTTACGACCAAAGATAATAGAAAAACTCCCGAATTCTAAATCAGGCTCCCTAAATAAATCTGCAAGAAGAGAAGCACAAGAGTGGGCATTCTTTGATGGATTCCTTCCAACTTTTATCTTCAAAGATCGAGCATTAGCATGGTGAGCCATATTTGCAGCTTCCCTCAGCCCAGTAAGAAAAGCCCCATGCATAGTTGCAGGGTACCGCCTGGTGGTGGCCTCCCCTGCAAAGAATAGTCTCCCATCTCCAACACTTTCTGCTAAAATATCATAGTCGTCTCCTGATGCCCCAACTGCAACATTAGAATAAGAACCTAGGCTAAAAGGATCACTTCCCCATCTGGTACATACGGTTTGAATAGGCTCTGGGACATTTATTCCTTGTGGTTCATATATACCTGTATGAATAAGAGCCAGAGTCTAGTCCTCGTCAAGAATAATCAGCTAAACATTGAGTGACAGTTCGAGAAATCAAAACATCAAACAATAGTACTAAAATGATTCCAAAGAAGGGTCATGATTAAGATAAACTTCAGAACAATGCACAATTAGAAGTTTTGGTTTTTCCTTTTTTTTTCAAAAGAATAAAATATGCCATTGTGAAAATGAACTTTAAATACATAAAAGTAAATATTATACCCTTGAGAATTTGAAGAACCAGTGTTACTGCATCAGTAGGAGGCATGCACTCAAACTTATGTGCTGCTTCCCCTGCCACTAAAGCAATCAAGAGAGGACCGCCAGCAACTGTAGCATAACTGTAAAATAGAAAAAATTCCCCTCGACGGCTGGGATCATCAGAAAGGTGTCCAAAGGTATCAAGATCTGTACCCCAAAACGCGTGAGGAAAAAGCATTGCAACCTTATTCAGCAATCCAAATCCTAATCTCTTTATCCCATCAAGCTTTCTCTGAGGCAACTCTGGAATAAATTTGATGGACCCACTTTTCAAAACCCCAAGAGGCACAGTGCACAATGCCATATCACACTCAAAAACCTGGTTGCCAGCTACTACTTGCACCCCATGGTTACCATACCTAATTGTGTTCACAGTTTTCTCATACAAAATTGGAACATTCTCCGCCAAGGCCTGAACCAGCCTTCCATTCCCTCCAGGCAAGAAGCAATGATCACCTCCCATATCGTACGGGTCATCTTGGTCCCAAAACGCAAGTGAAAGCTTTGATATTAAGCCTGCATTCGCATATTCTAAATTTGCAAGATGCCAATTGAACAACTTCATTTCCTCAGCATCTACATCATCCCCATAAACCTGTCTGAACGTTTCCAAGGCCGCGCCAAGAGAAACATCAACTGATACATCCCCCATCAACTGCCTAAGCCTACTCGCTTTATCCAGAAGATGGTTAAAATCATATTCCACCTTCATATCCATGTCATGGTCTACAGGCTTCCCCTCCGAACTATACAACGGGCACTTGTCTCTCACCTTATGAAAGGTTGAACCCAATTGCCTTGCAACAATCCCAAGAGGGTTTCCTAATGTACCTGTCAAAACACTCCCACCTAAATCTGCTGCCGCGAATACCCTATTTCCCCCCTCCATTTTCTTCGTATAAACCCGCCCACCTGCGCGCTTCCTTCCCTCCAATACAGTCACTTTAAACCCGACACGCATCATTTGCCTCGCAGCGGCTAGACCCGCAAGGCCAGCACCAATCACAACCACATTCGGCTTACTGGGTTCGGAAGGAATCTTCTCCTTGATAGCCGGTGCAACCCCAAAATTAATATATCCATGTGAAACAAGATAATTGTAAGCAGAGTCTAAAAGTGTGTGACAATGTTTGGGTATAGTATCAACAAACATCTCCTTGGTAACCCAATTAGACACGTTCTCGCGCCATTTCGCGATAATGTGGTTCCGAATTAGAATGTAATTGACCTGTTCAATTCCCCCGATGACGGGGAGAACCCCGGCGTCGATTTCTTCATCGGTTAGGGAATCGGCCGGGAAACCGGCAGTAAGCGCAACCACTGCTTCAGCCGTGGATTCTCTGTTGATCACGATGATCTCGTCGGAAGTATCGGGCGCAGCGCGGGGTAAAGAATTAGCGTTTCCTACATTGTTCCTGATTGAATTGACTGAAATGGAATTAGAAGAAGCAGAAGTGAAATCATTACCGTTGGGGTTTAAGTCAGTCCCATTAGGAAAATGAGCAATGTTGAACGACGTCGAACTGCGCTGCGGCCTGCCTCGCCGTCGCTTCTTGGGGATCGAGAAAGAGAGAATGTGGCTTGAGCCAGTTTCGGAAACTTGGCTTGAGCTCGGGAATGAAGTTGGATCCGAATTCTGGTTAGGGTTAGGGTTGAAGTTAGGAAGAAAACCAGGAATAGGTTCGGGATTGGGGATTTCGTGGGGATCGTAAAGAGTGAATGGGATGGGAGGGAACAGAGAAAATTGATCGGCGATATCATCGGGCGGGTCCATGGAATCCGTACCGGTGGTGTTTCCCGGCGGGAAGGTGAGAGACCGTGTTGATCGAGAAGGAACTGTTTGGTTTCCGAGTTTACGCTTGCCGCACTAAAATTCGTCAACTTTAACTTTTATGAAAACGAGAATCTTGGCATTCTTCACTTCTTCTTGCAATTCGAGTTTTTAATTTATGTTGTAAATTTAAATTTTTAATTTTAATTAAAATATAATATTTTTTAAAATTTTTTAATTATAATAAAAAATAAATAT